TTGAACCCAGGGCCTTCACACAGAGCTACATTCCCCAACCTATTTTTTTTCCCCAACCTATTTTTTATTTTTATTTTTAATTTTGAGACAGGGTCTCACTGGCTCTCTAAATTGCTCAGGATGGGCTCATACTTGCAATCCTCCTGCCTCAGCATGCGGGGACCACAGCACTTACAGTTTGGGTAGAAGGTTTTTTTAAATTTTAATTTTTATTAGTACATGTTTGCACTACATAATGGTTATCCTGGAGCTGGAAAATGTACACATCTTAATTCTTTTCATGTCCCCTTCCCCTTCCCTTCCTGGTGGAAGCTTTTTAAGGATGAGGCTAACTATATTTGGAATTCGGTTAGATATTTCTTTAATTTATAAACAAATGAGAGGGAACGAATAAATGTTCTCACCTGGAATGAGAAGCTTGGGACCTTTTGCTATAAGTATCCTCATAAATAGCTAATTTTCAAATGGATAAGTGAAATGGATAGTTCTTTCTAGAAAATTAGGCACAGCCAGGCATGGTGGCACAAGCCTGTAATCCCAGCACTCAGGAGGCTGAGGCAGGAGGATCACTGTGAGTTTGAGACCAGCCTGGGCTACAAAGTGAGTTCCAGGTCAGTCTCAACTACATAATGAGACCCTGTGTCAAAAAAAGAAAAAGAAAAAGAAAGTTGGGCACAAACACTAGCAAGGAAAGTACAATATATGGTGCACTACACACACATACACACACACACACACACACACACACATGAGCACCCCAGTTCTCCGCCCAGCTTACACCTGCACGTAAACCTTGAAACATCTCTTTTGTGGTAAATACATCTGTTGTAAATTATACGTCTCTTAGTGTTTTGTTTCACTCACCACAAACTAATAGACCTTGACAGTTGGCTCACAGATATGTTTTCTTTTGGCTTCCAGTGGGTTGTTTGTTTGTTCAGATGTTTTTTATTTTTTGTTTTGTTTTTAATGAATTTGAATATAGGGCATGCACATTTATCTCCCTAAGTGGATTCCAGCAGAATTTAAATATGCAGCAACAGACTTTCTTCTTTGAAACATGAGCTAACAAAAGATATCAGTTATTCAATTCAGCAGGATGAGGGTTACTTAAGGTAACTTGCGTGTTACCCTTGCAGTAAAAGGAGTTGGACTAAAACAGGAAATAAAATAAAATCTGCTATAATGACTTGTTTTGACCGCTTTGAGAAATTTTTCTTCAAGAGCTATTTACCAGTTACAGAAGTTAATACTTTTATCCATATGAGAATGCTGCCCCAGGAATCTTCCAAACAATTCAGTTGGATAAATTCTCAGTCTGGGTGTCTGAGGCCACAGTGCCTTGCCATGACCGTTTTAGTACCAAAGAGTTGGAATGATTTTGAAGTTTAAGTTAGGCTATAACTTTCCCTCCCTTGCATTTTAAATTGTGTATGAATGTGAAAGAGGGATGGAGAGGGAGGAAAGAGAGAGGGAGAAAGAGAAAGATAAAATGTAAGAATTTCACTTAACTACATAATCTCAATAAATCTCTTGAAGATTGAGGTCCTCATGTGGACATTATTTTAAGATCATCTCAGAATAAAGGATGAAAACTTGAAGACAGCTTTCTAAGGAATAGCTTAATTATAGAATCATCTTATCTTGTTTATTATTCCCAGTGTGTGACCCTTAGTAGGTGCTACAGAAATATTCCTAGGCGAAATGAGAACCATTTTGACTAATATGTATTAGAATTCCTTGGAAGTCTCCTGAGACACAAGGTTAAATTTTCCAATGAAGTTGCATCATCAATTCCTGACAGGAACCCTGTGATCTGACCCCAGGTGTCTCCTCCCTGGTCCATAAGCCCAAAGTGTCTGTCTCCCTAGAGGTGTTGAGTTGAGACTTTAGGGTTTTAATGTAGATATATACTGTAACTAGTACATTCTTGGGAGGCCACAGTTAGAAGATAAGAATATTGTTCTCTTCCAGGTAGAAGAAGTTCCAGTAATTAGTAGTAGATGGACATAGGTGACAGGTGTAATTCTAAAATGGCCTCTATACAGCTGCACGTCCTATATAACTCCCTTCCCTGAGGTGTGGGCCAGAGCTAGGTGTCTTATAAGACAAAGATTGAAGGGATTTTAAAGGTATAACTAAGGTTTCAAATGGTTTTAAATAAAAGATGATTATAGGTAAGCCTGACGTAGTAGGATAAAAACTCTTGAAAGAGGCACCAGGTACTTCTTGAAGAGAAGACCACTCCTCTCAGCCTTGAAAGAGAAACTGCCATTCTATAAGTTACCTATGCAAAGGGAAGCCTCAGGACTCCAGTGCCTCAGTTGCTAAACTTTAAGCAGAAGACCAAATTAAGCTCTGCCCAAACTTCTGAGCCACAGAAACTCTGAGATTATAAATCTCTATTGCTTTAAGCTATTAAATCTATACTGATTTTCTGTATAGCATTAGAAAACTAATACGGAAATAGTTACTAATAAACACCACAAGAAAGTATGAAGACGGGGTTGACACAATATATAAAATGGGAAACAGAATAGGGACATAAATTGGTATTCTGAAGTCTAGCTGTGGACAGATAACTTCTGAAATTAATAGGTCAGGGGAGCCCTAGTTACAGGCTTGGAATTGTTTATGGCTTTGCCTTTCCCTAAACCAAGCTCTACAGGGCCTTTGCCATAACATCTCTTGTACAAACAATTTCTATGGCCTGCACCATGTGAGGCCCCGTTCTAGACTCTGAATACAGAAAGGGAGATGTCAGGTTGAGGAGTCAAATACACACAAGTATTCGCAGCTGAGTGTGTTAAATCCCTGTGTGTTTATATGTGTACATGCACATGTGTATGCATGCGTACATATACTATATACATCGAGGATAACTTCTGAGAGGAACCAGTCAAGGTCAGCTTTGGCTGCTTTGTGGAGGATCTTCTCTATGTAAAAAGCTTGGGGAATAGAATAGATTTTTTCCATTGTTGATAATTAATAGGAAATAATAACAAAATATTCTACACAAAAGAGTAGCATGGCCCACGTTGTGTTGTGGGAAGGCCTACAGGGCAGCAGATGGGTTGCAGGAGGTGGGGGAAGCTGTGTAACACTCATGCAGGATGTTCACACGTCCTACTCACTCCTCTGCCCTGCCGTGTAGCACAGCCCACCCCGTAGTGAGGGACAGTAAGCGTTGGCTGAGTCGTTAGACGGGAGTTCTAGAAGCAGCCGTCTCTGAGAGGCTGAGAGAGGGCTTCACCTGCCAGAGTTGGGGGAGGAAATGTTTAAGACCTCCAGGCTCTGATAGATGGGGCAGAGGATGGGATCCAAAAACGCTTTCAATTCCAAGCCTGGGCCTCTGCTGATCTCTAGCTGAAGTGAAAGGGCGGGGGGCAACTTCAAGGCCTGAAGGCTGAGGGCATCCAGGGAATAGAAGCTTAGCATCACCATTCCAGCTGAAAACTGCCTATCCCCTAGTATGAAAGTTCAGGTGCTTCAGCACCTAGTTCTCCCAAGGACATTTTAAAATCGATGACCACACCCACACCTTCCGCATACTCTATGATGCTCTTCCCCTGACCTACACCCTAGTTCCCCATCAGCTCTTTAGGAACCCTGTTCATCCATGGTTGGCCCATACACCCTCTCCTTCTTTCCCTCTATTCTTACCCTTAGCTGCTTCCCTCTCAGAGGATGGTTCCTCTCAGGATAACAACAGGACCAAAGAGCATTAATCACTTGATCAACTTGATCAACTGCTTCGTATTACAGATAAGGTGTCTTCATCTTCTTTTCTGACTCAGGTTAAGATGTTCTTTTCCCCACCAAAGCCCATGTCATCCCTCTGACTGTGCTGACAATTCCTCCATCCATTCATTTATTTTTTCACTTAGTTACCCCCTAACTATTTATTTGAACACAGACGCTATTCTAACCATCGGAGACACAATGGAGATGAAGTGGAGAGTCCAAGCTCTCAAACAGCTGACCTTATGGATCGAGAGGTAGAAAATAAGTGGTGACCAAATAAACGAGCTTTTCTTCAGAGTCTTAAGTTGCTATGATTTGAATGTGTCCCTCAAACTTCGTGGGTTGGAACCTTAATCCCCAAAGTCACATACTGATAGTATCTGAATGTAGTGCCTTTGGGAGGTAATTAGGGTTAGATGAGGTCATATGGGTGGGTTTCCCATGATTACATTAGTGGCTTTATAGTAAGAGGAAGAGACCCACCAGAGCTGGCCTACTTTGTTTCATCCTGTGATGCCCTTTGCCAGAGGTCTTCAGTTATTGCCTTCTTTCCCTGACGGAGTTTCTTGAATCTGGGGTGGAAATAATCTGCCTATGAATAAAGTCTTCCTATCTGTAGTGAGACCATTTCAGAATGCAGACTCAGAAGGGGAGACTTGTCTCATTTTTTAAATGAAATGGACCCATACAGAGGAAAATTTCCTTCTCATTTGGGTTTATTGCTTGATACTTTGTATTATAATTTGAGCTACGAGGCTTTATTCTTAATGGCCTGAGAGTGATTCTGATGGACCACAAGATTGGACACAAATTCCCTGGATATCACCATTCCAGACAGCACAATAATAATCACCACACTTTCCAGCTCTAACGGTAGGCTGTTGCCATTTCCAGTTTTAAATTGTTGCTTGGCACACTGGCAGCCACTCCTTATTTTCTGAGCACTGGATAAAGAGTCCACCAATCTCCCACTCTCTCTGGAGAATCCGAGACCACCAAACCAAGACCTCTCAGGAGGAGACCACCAAAGCTGACTTCCGACACTATAGCCCTGACTTCACTGGGTCCTTCGAGACTCCCTGTGCAAAGAGAAGGGACTCGACACCTACTCCCTGCACAGGTTGCTCTCTCGGCACTTTCTCCCTAAAGCACACGACCAGCTCGTAATGCTCGATTACACGCCCTGGCTGCCCCAAGTGTCCAGCATTCTGAGGGTGACAGCCCCTAGAAGGGGTGGGGAAGGACACAGTTCTTACTTGTATTCAGCAGAGTGCGGATCTTCTTCTCTTCCTCAGCTGCTTGAAGTAGCATTTCCGCCAGCGTCTTCTCCTCCGACTCCGTGCACTCCTCAGCCTCTCGAAGGTATTCCAGGTAGTCAATCTCCCGCTGGGCACGTTCCACTCTCAGTGCCAGGTTGTTTACTGCACTCTTATATTCACTTGTGTGGGTGTGGCACTTTCCCAGCATAACAGATATGTTTTTTGAAAATTCTTGGAAGTCTTGAATGTATGCCCTTGTTTCCCGGGTGCATTTTTCCAGCCCTTGCTTCAGTTAGAAAATAAATTTACCAAATTATTGTTAGTTATTTATCATTCATAGAAAAAGATTAGAAAAATACAAATAATCATAAGGGGGAAAATAAAAATCACTCATAATCTTGAGTTCAAAGGTGCCATTGGTATTTAGTGATAAATATATAAATACATATTTCAAAATGTGTTTTTTAGGAGTGGGGATTTAGCTCCACAGTAGAATCGTGGACTGGCATGGAATAAGTCCTGGGTTTCATCCCCAGCACTGCAAAAAATAAAATAAAACATGATTTTATTATATGTATGCTTGTAATGTATTTTTTTCTGTAGTGGGAATTGAACTCAGGACCTTGCACTTGCCAACAGACATGGCGCCACTGAGCTAAATCCCCAGCCCTGTAATGTATTTTTAACCTGCTGGTATCTTGTCAGCATATTTTAATGGCAATAGCCATGCTGTAAGTTTTGGTGCTGATTTTTTTTTTGACATAAAAATTATATTGTCCAGGTGGGCATGCTAACACACACCTGCAAACCCAGCACTCTGGGAGGCTGTTATCTCATTTATTTATTCTGTTGGATTGCATTGGACTGACATTTATAATAGCTTTCAATTTTTTGTCATTCAAATAATGCCAAAAAACCCCTTTGTATTTACATTTTCATGTACTTAACTGGACATTTTCTTAGGATAGATTTCCAGAAGGAAGCCCCATCCCCAGTGCCTGGCACAGGGCCTATCGTGTAACAGTACTCTGCAAATATTTATTGACTCGAAGAATATATGAACGGAAATGGGATGGCTGAGCTAAAAATTAGAAAACGTTAAAGCTCATTTGACACCGTCTCCGAGAATGCTTTTCACAATTGTAGAAATGTATGGGCCGAAGAGAAATATTGTGTGTGAGAGACTTCATTTTGAGGGGAAAGAGACTGAGATAGAGACAGAACAAGAAATAGGGACAGAGAGAGAGAGAGAGGGAGAGGGAGGAAAATCCTCTAAATCCATATCCGTTTTGTCTTTTTCTTATGCCTCTGACCCATCCTTCCCTGGGTGGGAACTGTATCACTTGGTTGTTAAGAGTGTGCTTTGGCCAACAATGACTGCCCCTCGGGAGTGGGCTTCCAGGCCATGAGAGGACCACGGTGGGAAGATCCGTACGGATCACATCCCCATGTTTACAAATTCCCATTTAGAGGTACCAAAGCATTCCTGCATATGATATGCACTTGTCTGCCTACAAACTCAAGAAAGTAGGGAACAATTTACAGGAATTTTGGCTAGCTCTAATGTCAGGGTGAGTTGGTGCTAAATGCTGAGCATAATTCTTGGGCTTTTAAAAAGGTGAGACTGAAGGACAGGTGTCTGGGGAAAGAGCAAATAAAGAAGCAGCAAAAGGCAACTGGCCTAGGAATGTTTCATCCACAGCCTCTGAGCCTCAGTGTGCTGATGGGTCAATGTTAAGAAATGCATTCAGGGTACTCAGTCAAGTTATTTTACCATGACTGCAACTTGATGACCTAATAATATGAACTTGCAGATTTTCCCAGAAAATACAGATAATAAATATTGGAGATCGATGTGTCTTTGAAAGAAGATAAATAATATCAATTTAATTTGTACAAAAGTAAGGTATTAGCCAGGTGCAAGCACACATGCTTGTTATCCCAGCACCCTGGGAGACTGAGGCAGGAGGATTAGAAGTTTGAAACTAACCCTATTAAGTCAGAGATTCAATGAGACCCTGTCTCAAAATAAAAAAATAAAAATAAAAAGGGCTGGAAATGTAGCTCAGTGCAAAGGTCTTGGGTTCCATCCACAATATGTGGGGGGGTAGGTAGCAGTGCAAAGTATTAAATACGAAATAATAGCTTTCAATGCTGAGATGTGTCAAAGACTAGAGGGAAGAAATTTGTCCCGAGAGCCTAGTTGGCCTACAAAAATATTGGGTCTTGTCAGTTCTAGTGAGGTGGAAACGGAATACTTTCTGTTTAACATTTCTGAAAACCGCTCATTTCAAAGTACAAGTTCAGTTACGGCAAAAAAGAAAATCTGAGACTTAGCCTCTCAATGCAGTATCAACACTTGTTACACTGGTCTAATAATGGTTTATTATGAAAAGATAAAAAGAAAATCTAAAATGGGTTATCATTCCCATGCAATAAAACATTAAGGAAAAGTGACCAAGACTTTTAATTTTTACACTTAAGAAACTATTGTATTGAATTAAGGTTGTCCAACAGTTTAGACATTTACCCACCAGGCCAGACAATGTTGTAAAGTATAGATTAATGACTCAACAGAAATTATCCTCAACTTCTCAGAGCTGGAATCGCTCTAGTAAATATTCAGAAGGGGGTAATTCCGTTATTATCATCTCCATTTTGTAGATGAGAAAAACTGCCAGATCTGCATAGAGAGTGAAGACATGCTCAAGGTTTGGGGCTGGGGCAGAGTAGATTCTTTATAGGTGCCTTAAACTACTTGTTTATACACTTTTATAGGTATAATTTTAGCAAATGGACTTATAATGTCCTATCTAGAAAATATACATCAAAGGAAAGACAAGGAAGTTTGGGTAAAGTGATTTCCAAGCCTGGCATAGTGGTATGGGCCTGTAATCCCAGAACTCAGGAGGCTGAGGCAGGAGGATCCCTACGAGTTCAGGCCAGCCTGGGCTATCTACTGAGTTTAAGCCCAGCTTGAACTACATAGTAAGACCCTATCACCAAAAAAAAAAAAAGGTGATTTCTGGGAGACATGTTCCCTGTTAGGCAGCCCAGATATCACCTACCTCCAAGGCATGAAAGCGCTGGTAGATGTAGTGCACCATGGCTGGGTCCTGGGCATACTGCGGTGAGGGCAGAAATGCTGTAAGGAACAGAACCAGCAGGGCACAGGCTCTCCGAAGGGCTATCATCATCCTGCAAAATCCCCAGGAGCACAATCTCTTAAGCTGTGGTCCTCAAAGAAGACTCAAGGGTCCAGATGTTCGCCTATTCTCTGGGGCTGTAGCAAGTCCTTGAAAAACAATGTTTTGCAGAAAGTAAAGTCCTTTTGTTATTCCACCCAATGCATGATCTCAGTTTGCAAGCTGGTGATCAAGTCCAGCTGTTGGCAGGGGAGTCCCTGGAGGCCTCGGACACTTACTTGGCACAGAGAGCTTCCGGGGCCCAGCATCTGCTGCCCTCACCTTTGACGTGTGCGGGCCCCTCCAGGCTGGTGTCTGTTTACTGCGTCTAGGCCTAGGGTGTGGGGATGGGGTGGTGAGGTCTTTTCTCCCCTCCCTTCCCCCCCAGCTCTTTCCTTTTTACTTTTGCTTTCCTCCTCCCTAATACACGCTGCAGTCCAATCACAGGCCTGACCCAACGCAAGCCACCCCCAACTTCTGAGAATTAGAATCTCAGCTTAGTTTCTGGCAAAAATTCCCAGGATCATTTTGCCAGAAGTTCTACTGGGAGACCCCACCTCTCCAGACTTCCTTTGCATTCCTGCAGCTCTTAAAGGCACAGCTGGGAAAATGAACATGACCTACCCATATTTCTGAAAAGCCAGTGCACAGGGCTGCATTGCGCTGCTGGCTGAGAGGTACAATTGTTGACATCCCGGACTGAGCTTAGAAGAATTTTCTTGAGAGAAAGAAACAAGCGTTAGTGATACTGAATCTGGGGCTTCCGGAGCCAGATCATCAACGAATGAAATTCCTTTGCAAAGAAGTCCTAGCGTTTTCTCAGTCACAATGTCAGCATTCCCTTTATAAGGCTACCAGCTAGAAATACGTAGGACTCGACTCCCCCAGTTCCCTTAATAGTTGAGAATAGATCCTATCTCTGGAGCAAAGTGGTAACATTTTCCACTTTCACCTTTGCGGTACAGGCTTCTAGTTACCTCATCCTCTCCTGTGAGTCAGTCCAGGACTTGCCATGTTCTTTCTCAGTCACCTGCTCATGTAGGGAAGGGTTGGGTTATGGATGAAGTATAGAAAAACCCCTAGCCAGGAGCCCAAAGACCTGGATTTGCTTTTGGTCCCTGCAAGAGATACTAAATTTGAGAATTTTCCACTGGTGGTCCCCAGCAGGTATTCTTTTCCATTCCTCCTTTTCTTTTCTTTCTTTTCTCTCTCTCTCTCTCTCTCTCTCTCTCTCTCTCTCTCTCTCTCTC